GAAAGAAAGAAAGAATATAAATTGGAGCCACAGCCTTGAATTATTGGCACTAGTTTTTTAACTTTGGGGCTTAGATCCTGTTTTTCTGCAAACCTTCCCTTGGGACTCATGCTGTTCTGGGGGGTACAGTGTGGCCTCCTATAGGTGAGGCTGGGGGACTTTGACAGACTATACTGAAAGCAGGAAGGACTCTGCCCCTCATTTCCCTGTTGCGTGGGGCAAGTGACCACACCAGGGTGCATTTTATTATGTATCGGCCGTTCCCACTTTTTCTTGATTCTTTCCCTTTAAAGGGCATGAGTTTTTTTTATCTTTATGCAAATGGATAGATGCCTTAATTTCACGGTGAGAGTTTGTTTCCATTTGGGTGAAGGAGTCGGCAACTTGGGCATCCAAGTTTTGGTCACAGAAGCTCACCAGGCTCCGTCTTCACTCTAGCACCTGCAGAATGGGAAGAGCCCACAGCACGGCTGCAGCCAGGGTTTCCAGGTGTTGTGTGGCGTGTCCAGCTGCAGGGGGACAGGACGCAGCGTCCGCTGGTGCGCCTCCACAGCCCGCTGGACGGTGTCCACCACCTGGTGGAACAAGGGCTCTGTGGCTGCCGTGAGGACGTGGGTCTCGGAGGGGTCTCTCGAGAGATCGAAGAGTAAAGGTGGGTCGTGCTGGGTTACTTTGTCCCCGAAGCAGGGGCAGACCCCTCTCCCGTAGCAGGCGCCGGCTCCCTCGGGCTGGAACTGTGGGGTCAGGTAGTGGACTTTCCAAACTCTTCCCCCTGGGGGAGGGATAGGAGTCCCAGAGAATGGACATGGAGAAACAGGGCTCGGTGCTGGACAAAAGTGTTAGTCACAGCAGCCAGAAGGAAGAGAAACCCACGTGCTGGTGGAGAGATGAAGGAATGAACAGAAGGCCATCTGGCCACATGTCGGGATAGCATCCAGGAAAGAAATCCCGATATGTGGACGAACATGGAAAAACAGTGGAAGAAGTCACAAACGGACGCACCTGGTCAGATCCTGTTTATGGACCATCTGGGGTCAGTAAATGCGTAATGATGGAAAGTGGACAAGTGGTCAGGGGCCAGGGAGGGGGATGGGCAGTGAGTACTGATGGGGAAGGCCTCTTCTTTGGGGGTGGGTGGGAATGT